CAGCTTTGTGTTATTATGTCCATCTTGAACAGATCTTACAGAATAGGACTAGTGACCCACAGCCTCCCAATGGAAGAAGAGGTAGCAGGGCTGTGTGTCTGATGCTACACATCTGACCCACATGGCTGCGCTCTAACCTCACTGATACCCAGACAGTCAGCGCATGGCAAAAACTGTCACTCAGCGATTTAAAAACACAATCACTGGCTTTTAAACCTGCTGCTTTGTGTGCTGTTGGGTTTTATTTTGAGGGCCTTTAAGAAAATGTATGTCTTGTTGAAATAACTTTATCGTTATCTAACTTTGTGAAAATGTGCAGTCATACCATGATAACTCACATGTAAAGCTATAATCCCACATTTCTTATACATTAGAACATGGACTGTGTGTGTGGCTGGAACTTGTGCTGTTCTTTTATTTTAACTCTGCATGTTTGTGTCTGCTTGTTTGAACTGTCCTGCACTGACTCCATGTGGTTTGACATCTACTTGCTGTTTTCTGTGTGTGTGTGTGTGTGTGTGTGTGTGTGTGTGTGTGTGTGTGTGTGTGTGTGTGTGTGTGTGTGTGTGTGTGTGTGTGTGTGTGTGTGTGTGTGTGTGTGTGTGTGTGTGTGTGTGTGTGTGTGTGTGTGTGTGTGTGTGTGTGTGTGTGTGTGTGTGTGTGTGTGTGTGTGTGTGTGTAGTTGTAAATATGACCCCTTGGTTGTAAATATCTCTGATGAAATGGCCAAAACAGCAGCGTGGAAAGCAGTGAACTCGAGTGCAGAGTCATGTGTCCAACCTGAGAAACGTAGTGGAAGGTAGCTATGCCATCTCCTGGAGGTTTCTTCCAGAGCCCCCCCCCCCAAACTTCATATTTGATAATTAAAAAAACATCATATTACCACAGGCGTTTTTATACTGTAGGGAAGTAAACAAAGCTGCCTGGAAGATCAAAGATTATGATATCTAATGCTGAATTTCTAAATGTTGAATGAATGTTTGTTTTAGTGCCTTTAGTCTTTGCTCTTTATGGTCTCGAGTATCACAGTTTAAAACTGTACTAGTACAGATCTGGGTTGGGCTTTGTGTCCTTTAGGTCCTCAGACTTAAAAAAATAAAAAAAATTGAAATGAAGGTTTATTTTTAGGCTTTTTATGCCTTTATGTAGTGATAGGACAGTGTATAGAGTCAGTGATCTGAGAGAGAGAGATAAAGTGGGGAATGACATGCGGGAAAGGAGCCACAGGACAGATTTGGACCTAGGCCATCTGTTTGGAGACAAAAATTTTGTTCAAATTGCCAATATCACTCCTCCAGCTAATAAAAATGAACAATAGCCGTTGTCCTTCACCCTTAAACACCACCATACATTTAAATGATCATCTTGTCCCTCATCTTCTCTATTCAGTCAGGAAAAGGTGGCTTGTGTTAGAGTTGATGTCAGCCCAGATATACCAGGAGGAAGTTCCACTGCCGAGGCCTTCCTGTGATCAGAGGCCCTCATCCCCTCCTGACACCTCCTCCCACACAACACTCTCTCCCACTGACGGGTACCATCTTGATGGTCCGAGGGGGCTGCTGCAGCGTGCCCTTCTTCAGAGCAGCAGGCGCGGCCCCCCAGAACTGTAAGTCCTACTCCAGACAAGTCTCGAGGTGTGCAGACGGCTGCATCGTTTTCCTGCAGAGGGCACATCTTTGAGGAATGAAGGAATTCTGCAGTTACTGCCCACCGACACTCACTGTTTAGGAACTCCTGCAAACATGTCACCCATTAAAACCACAGATGCCAAAGGAACAGGCCTCACTGGTGGGGATCTTGGAACAGAATTTTTCTGTATATTTTAATTTTATTTTACTGTTTCTGGTATGTTATTCATGCACCATGTGTTTACCTGCACTGTTTCTTTGGTTTTACATTAGATAGAAACTCATTAGATGAAAGCCATACAGGTACTGTTGCTGCCAGTGGATTATATTTAATAATTGATTTGGTACTGTTTTATACACAAACCAAAACAAGGACACATTCAGACAGTACTACACCACACTACTAATTCATACATCTTTGTAGAACTGGATCATCTCTCTGGTGTGCGTGAGAGAACTCAGTATTGATATTGCTGCTCATAACTTCAGTTATGTTCAAGTTCAGTTATTTCACTGTAAACCTCACTGTTAATATTGTATGTGAAGTTATAGAAACTTCAGTATGTATGTTTGTATTTAAGCTCTAATATTTTCATATGTAACATAGTAGAAACCCTACATAAGAGGCCATATGAAGTCTGTACTGTACAGGAAGCACTTTGCCAGTATAGTTTCTTACCTAAAACAGAGTATAGCGTATTAATGATTTTAAAAATAAAAAAAGGTTCCTCCTCTCACCGTATCTCTAGAGCTGTAGTGCAAACATCAGTTAAAGAACTCAGGAATCTTGAACGATTTCTGACTCTGGTCACTTGATATTTTTGTCACAAGGTGGCGATAATTAACTGCCCACCTCTCATCGCTGGTGTCGCAACTGTTTTAATAAAGTCTGTAAATCATAAACCATAGCAAAGGTGCAAAGTAAAAAAGAGAATATTAATGAGATAGTTGCGCCTGTTTTTTATACTGTCTGTATTATTGTTGGTGTTGATGTGTCTGTGTGCAGTGTAGAGATAAATCTGGATGTTTCGCGCTGCAAATCATTTTATGCAAAATATTTCTACAGTAAATGTAAAAAAAAATAGAATATTCTATGAAGTTGTTCTTATTTTGCTACGTGCAGTCGTGTTTTTAGCAATAAGTATCCCATACTGTGCAGAGTATGGACTCATGAATGTGGCTACTGTTCAGGCAGATAATAACTAGTGAGATGATTTCTGTGCGTTTCATCAGCTCTGTCTGTGTGTAGCTACAGTGACAAATACGGACATTAGCTTGCATGCCTTGTCAAAGCTGGTTATTTATCTTGTGTTCAGAACGGATGTACAGGTATACACAAGGTGGCACATAAATGCCAAAGACAGACTGTCATTATTGTACAAGAGTGAAGCAGTAAACGGCCCATCATATCTGTTGTAGTGTTAATTAGCATCTGTGTGAAGGTGGTAGTCTGAGCCACTGACTTAAACAATGTAATTTATCTTCCATGCATATGTAACTCTAAAGTCAGTGTGTGTCTGTTTACTGTCACAGCTCTAGTATATGCTCACATTTAAAGCTCTGTAATCAATATTGAGGTACTGTTTTTTTTTAATGATCAGTGAATGTCAAATGATTGTACCGTCAACAACAGAAATGGAATCAGTAACATTCTGCCAAACATCTGTTTTTACACAAATGATTATTTCCCTAAACATACTGTATGGACCATTTGATATACAATGTGAGTCATCTGATCTGGTGAACATCACAATGAAGTGAACATCCACCAGTCATGTAATTTCATAATAATAGTGTTTATTTTGATGGAAAATGCCCTATTTTCACATGACATCATTTTAATTATGTTAGCTCTTAAGGGTGGATGTCAACAACATAGAGGGTGGAGATTTGACCCTTTATCACTCAGTACAAATGTATTTGTTGTGCTGTACAGACACATAGCATCAATGAAGCACACAGCATCCTTGAACAATGACCTTTGTGTCATGGCCAATTTGTGCAAAGCAATAAAAGTGAATACATGGTGATTTTTTTTTTTCTGTCTTCATTTGAATTACAGCTCTATAGGAGAGTATGATCCTATTTAAGTTGTGTGTGTCTCATAGTTTAAGAGGAGAGGTATATTTTATTATATTTTATTTTCAAACTGTAAAATGCTAAATTATCTTGGTCAGAATTCTCAAAAAACAATCTTCCCAATGGAAATGTTTAGGTGATAACTAAAATAAGGGCATATATTTGTACTCCATATACTTTAAATCTATCTTTTAAATATCCAGCATTGGAAAAGTTCCAGTCAGACCAGTGAAGATGCAATGAGAAGGCCCAGTTCTGTTTCTAAACCTTGGATCTATTTCATGTTGGAGACAGAGGGTGGCAGCAGAGATCTATCTTACAGGAGAGAGAGCCAGAACAAGTGTTGAAAAGTAACATTTCCACACTGTACCGTCTTTTCCACAGACATTGTGTCATCTTTAGAGATAACTTTGTGTGCCATCTTGCTTGCAAAAAGTTTTTATTTTCATTTATATCTAGACTTGGAGGAGCTTTAGTGTAGATAGTAAGAAATAATGGTTAATACAGATAGGTGGTTTGAACATAAACACACATTTTCTGACATATTCAGAATCATTTAAAATAAGTCAACGTAGTCCTGAAATCTATGTAAGTGAGACTTTATCATTTTTGGCTTTTCAAGATCGCTATTGCGTAACTTTGATTTGGCAACACAAACAAAAAGCAAGGAATTATTTGACACGTAAGTCTGCTATGCATAGCTCAGATTTTCTAATAATAAATATTTTTTTTTATAGATGACTGATATTATCCTTTAGTCATCAATAGTCTGTCAGCAATACAGTAAGATTCAACTGTTGTCTCTCAGGGCTGACTACCTCGCTTTAGCAGCCTGTAGGGACAGGATGTCATTCATTGTAAAGGACATGGCCATGGGTGAAGATCTCAGCTCCTCCGCTTGAAAGAAATCAAACAAAGTCTGTAGGGACTCAGGTTGGGAATCAGAGGGCTCAAGCCCCGGTGCGGTATATGGAAGTTGGTCTGGTTGCTGAACTGGTTACTTCCCGAAAACCCAACCCTGGGTAGCACCCTGCGTAGCACTCTGACATCGCTCATTTAATGCATGTCCATAGGTCCTGTTTGTGTGTGTGACAAGGATGTCTCTCAATAACAGTGTAAACCTGATTTTCCCTCAGGGATTAATAAAGTATGTACGATTAAATTGTAAAAAGAAAAAATTGTTTTGACCCAAGTTCCACTGACTTATGTTTATACTTCTTACCAAGACATTTGTTTGGTTTGGTCCAACATGAACTGTGAAGTGATGCAATGCTTCATGTAACAAGCAGACAATAGAAGGTAATTCTTCTTTACTCTTGGAGAGAACAAGTGGTACACTGTTTCACTCTGCTCCAGCAACACTGTCATCAGCACAACACACACAAAGAGTTCAGACACATCTTATAAACACATGTTAAGTTATCACAGACGCTACATGTTTCATTTATTCGCTCAGGTTCAGCCTTTGGACTTATGTTGCCTTTTTTGAAGTTGCCTTATTTGGATACAGCAAACGTAACAAAAAATCTTTACAATAAAAATTAAACTATTTCAACAAATAACGCAATTTCTTAAAGGAAACAAAATCAGGTTAAGCAAAAGTAGTGCTATATCGGTTTCACTTTATACATGTGCCGTTGTCCCTATTTTATAAGTGACACAAATAACGAATTTACAACTATTTTTTACAAGGCATCACTAGCACTCCTCGCATGTAGCAGGCTAACTAAAAATTATGTTGTTTTTTGTCTTTCTGCAGACAAAGGGAATCCTAATCAAGGGACCATTTCCTTTTTTTACAGATGAAATCAGTCGTTTGTGTCTTGGCTCAAAGTCCTTGATTTGTAACAAAGTGGAAAAACGGGAAAAATATAACACTGCATTGTTATAGGAGGAGTTTCCCCAAGCAGGTAGGATATATGTCCTCCTGTTACAGAGAAAAGAAAACGTGTCCCAGTGGAGATCTGTAGTGGCTCATGGTTCAGTTTGCAGCATTCTGCGGCCCCTCAGGGATGAGTGACATGAAGAAGGTGATGATGAAGGACCACGTGGAGGACAGGAAGCCCGTGTGGGGGCCGCTGTTGGGATCATCTACTCCTTCCTCGCCGCTTTCCCCATCGTCATCCGAGCCGTCATCCATCAGTCCTTCCTGCAAAGGATAAAGTCAAATTAGAAGAGGACAATCAAGGGAGACACAGTATGTTTTACAAATGTAACGACCCATAGTAACAACTTTAAATTGACAATTTGTTGTTGAATTGAGTTTGAATTGAATTTTTTTTTGCAAGTCGAGAAAAAATAAACCTTGAATATTGTTGTTTAATGGGTTTAACATTTTTTTAAATACTCTACCTGTTTTCAATTGAACTTTAAACACTATTTAATGCATTGGATTTGGATCTGCAGTTAAGTGTTATTGTTTTGATGTCATAGTATTGTTATCTGGAAGCTTGAAGGGCTTGTGCTGCAGACTCTTAAAACTGAAACAGATCAAAGGTAGCTACCATTTCTTGTAAGTCCAGGTTATGCAGCTCTGCCTCCATCTCATCCTGATTGGCTCTGTCAGGAAAGAGTTCATTCTCCAAGTTAAAGGGAAACCAGCCGGCTTGATGTCTTAAAAACAGAAATAAAAAAAATAAGATTACAAAGTTTCCACAGTGTTCATAAAACATTATCCTTTCATCTGAGTAAAACTTGAGTTGTCCCGGCTGTGGTACAGAAAAAAATATATATTTTGGCCCAAAATTACAACCTTAGTCAGCCTGGTTCTCTGACAACTTTCCATAAACCTAATTACACACACCTTTAAGGAGTAATTACAACAAGAAACTTATCAGATTCCATCCCTTTGGTGGATTAAACATTTAATTTATCACTGATTTATTTGAGCGCTGCCTTCCAGCTGCATAGGTGTAATACAAATACCCTTAAATGCTGCATAAAACAGAAACTTAGAGCATCATGTCAAGTATATTTGTGAGATAACACTGGGTTTCCTTTAAAGTTAAAATCTATCTGAGGTGCTTGTAAAACTCATGGGTCAAATATTCTAAGCACTCACAGGTAGAGCACCAGCATGGCCATCATCACCATGACGAATCGGCTGAAGGACGAGTAGAAGTAAACTACGCTCAGTAAGATTGCAGTGCGTGCAAATGTGTACACCCAGTCCAGCCAATCTCGGTTTAGCTCCTCCTCATTCATGATCTCCCCTCCCTGTGCGTTCATCTGAACTTCAGGGTTGCCACGGCGATTTCTCTGCGGTAGCTGGGCCAGAGGATCGTGCTGGTTAAACTGAGGAGAGGGCTGTTCTGGCAGCAGGTGCTGAGAGGACGCAGCCAGTAAGTGACTGCCGGGGGACGAGAAGTTAAAAAAACATTACTTCAGTCAACATTCAGGGGAAAAGTAGGGACACAAACATGAAGGGAACTTACTAATGCATGTAGTACTGCTGGGCGTAAAGCTGCTGCCACCACATCAGTGTCATGGGGTTGTAGTAAGCAGGCGTGTTTGTTGCAGGAAATGTCTGCGGGGGGTACTGATTCCAGCTGGAAAGAAAGCAAGTCAAGTTAGAACAGTTACATTTACAATGCTACACACACACACACACACACACACACACACACATTTCTCATGTTTTTAACTTTAAAGACCCTTACTGTAGAAAGTGCTTCAGTCATATATTGTAAATAAATAGAAAAGTGCATACTGCCTGTACTCAGAAATGGTCTCAACACATTTTCTGCTAAGTTGTGACATCACAACTTTACAGTGATGGTCCTCCGGTTGACTTCCACGTTTGAACTGTATTGACAATACAACACCAACTGTCTTGGTGAGCTAGCAAACTACATGGAGATGTAAAGTATATTGTTCAAAATGTTGCACTTAACACCACAAACCGATCTCGTTACAAATATGAATGGTTCAAAGAAGCTGGCAACAGTGATTTAAAAACTATAAAAATGTTTTTGCTCTGATTCAGACCCGATTCTTGAGCCGTAGGACAAGCTAGGAACACTTTGACTTCTTGTGTTATTTGTCCTAAGTTTCTTGTTGTAGTAAATTTGCTCAGTTCAGAATAGAGTAGATGTTTATTGCCATCTGCACAGGTACAGGACAGTACAGGTACATTGGAATTTTTGTGCATTTCTCCCTGAGTCAGCTTCTACAAAAAAGTTAAAATCATATATAAAATAAAATAGCATTATAAGAAAAAAAGTTAAGTAAATAAAAAAAAACTGTACAAGAAGCTATACACTGTATTAAAGCGAAGATATAATACAAAAAACACTGTACAATGAAATGAAAATATAAATATGTTTTCTTGTCTCTACTTTCTACATCAGTTAAGTCAAGTTAAGTTAACAGTTAAGTACCCTAACTATCACTGCAGTAGTTACCAAACTTTCAGCAGTCCAAAGGCTTACCTGTGCATAAATTGTGGATACATATGCAGATCTGGAAAGTGTCCAGTTCTCTGTCTGAGTCCATCAAGGCTCTCTGCTGGATATGGCCTGCTTTGCTGACCAGTGAAAGAACCAGTAGAGTTCTGCGGTGGCTGTAACCAGAAAAAAAAAGAGTTCCAAAATATAAGTCATGGTTAATGATCCTTTTTGGATGAAAGACAAATGATGCCTCTTTAATCCTCAGGGAAATGTAGATAACAGGAGAGAGCTGGGTGATGAAAGGGAATATGTGGATGATGAAATGAATGGGAAGGTGTGATGAGTGTGTGGCTGACCTACCGTGGGACCGGACGAGCTCTCCTGAGGCTTATTACTATGGCTGCGGGGGGGCTTCGGGGAGCTGGGAGGGGTTCTTGAGGCGCACACCAGATGGAGCATATGGTACTCATCCTGCTGTGGAAGTCAAAGCAGCTCATTATCAAACAGAGCACAGGTAATGCAGGTTCAAAGCAGATACACTTCTCAACTCTGTAACTGTTGTGTGCGTCATCGATTACTTCAAAACTGTTCTGAGTAGACTTTTAAAACAATTTGCTTTGAAAAGCTGAAATTTAAGAATAAAAAGATTCAGATTCAGGTTATCTGACTTACATCGATACATTTTCTTTCAACGCTCTTTTTATTGAAAGATAATAACAGAAAATAGCTTTTACTGTACAGGGAAATATTTTTCTTTTCTTCCCCCCACCCACCTTTAACAAAAACACTCATACATGTCACAAAACATCCAAAAATGAGACAAGCCTAATCCAGACGACAAACAACCACAGCTGTACCTAGAAGTCACATTCTGAATAATAAAAGGTCAAGGTCAACAATAAACACATCTGTACAGATAAGGGCAGTCCTTCCTGCGAACTCTAAAGGAAGCCGAGTTGCATTTAAGAGTTATGTTGGTATATAGGATGCAGTAACACACCCCAAACTACCACCCCCCCACCCAACAAAATACTTGGACGAGAAAGAAAAAAGAAAGAAAGAAAGAAAGAAAAGAAAAAAAGAAAATAAAGAACTTTACAAAAACAAATAAATCATACCAAGAAAAATAAGGAAAGAAAAAAAAAAAACAGTAATAGGTCATTGTATCTCTGATCCAGTGCGACAAGGACGGCGGGATAGGGTCTCTCCACTTAAGTAAAATTGCTCGCCGGGCCAGGAAAGACATAAAGGCCAGGACATTGAGTTTTGCTTTTGGCAGGTCTGAATCTGGAGATATGCCAAAGATAGCAGTCAAAGGGTATGGCAGAAATTGGTGGTGAAGTATCTCTGACATAGTTTGGAAAAATGATGTCCAGAATTGAGCTAAAGCGGGACAAGACCAATACATGTGAACGAGCAAGCCAGGAGCACCTTTACATTTATCACAAGTAGGGTCAACATCAGGATACATGCGAGCCAATTTGGTTTTAGATATATGAATGCGATTCACTACTTTAAACTGCAAAAGAGCATGACGGGCACACAAGGAAGAAGAGTGCACACGTTTAAGGATTAAATCCCATATGTTGTCCGAAAAAGTAAAGCCTAGGTCTTGTTCCCAAGCTGTTCTGATAGCAGCCATAGAGGGACAATGCAACTTAGAAATAAGGTTGTATAGGTTAGACATTATCCCTTTTGACATTGGTTTGACAGAGAGAAATGTATCAATAGGATTGACAGGTGGTTTAGAAGGGAACAGTGGAATTAAACCCTGTACATAATGCCTAATCTGTAAAAAAAGAAAAAAAAATGCGTTCTAGGGATACCAAAGGCGTCACTTAACTGAGAGAAACATGCAAACTGATTATCAAAGAACAGATCATCAAAACATCTCAAGCCTTTATTGTGCCAAATCTTGAATACACCATCAGAAGTCGAAGGGACAAAGAGGTGATTAGCTGCAATCGGGCTTTGCAATGAAAAGGTCTGCAGTCCGAAATGTTTTCGAAATTGGGTCCAGATGTGCAGAGACTGTTTTACTAAGGGATTACTTTTAGGAAAATCACAGGCTAGTGGAAGTGCAGCACCCAAAGGGTGGGCAAGGATATTGGAGCACTAACATAGACCTCCATCATTACCCAGACAGGACATGACGGTTCCAGATGAAAGTGCACCCAATACATCATACAGCGAATATTAGCTGCCCAGTAATAATACTGGAAATTAGGCAGAGCCATTCCACCAGTCTGCTTTGGTTGTTGAAGAAAGGCTTTACGTAATCGAGGGCACTTGCCGTTCCAGATGTAGGACGTGATTAAAGAATCAAGAGATTTGAAAAAAGTCTTTGGGACAAGAATCATTGGAAAAGATACAAAAATTCTGGAAGAAGCGTAATTTTAATTGAATTTATTCTACCAATGAGAGACAGGGATAAAGGGGACCATTTGGACAAAATCTGTTTAGCTTGGTCAAATAAACATAGGAAATTATGTTTAAACAGATGTCTCAATTGTTTTGTGACACAAATTCCAAGATAGTAGAAATGGTCTGTCACCACCTTAAATGGAAGGTTGGTAAGGTTAAGTCTCAGGGCTTCTTTGCTAATTGGAAAGAGTCGCTTTTATTAAAATTAATTTTATATCCTGGAAACTGACTAAAAAGTTCAAATAAGGCGAGGGCTTCCGGTAAGGACGACGCTGGTTCCAAAACATAAATGAGTAAATCATCTGCATAAAGAGAGACCTTGTGCTCGACTCCTCCCCTGTATATCCCCTGTATTTTACTATTGTTACGAATAGCTATCGCAAGTGGCTCTATGGCAATAGCAAAAAGGAGTGGGCTAAGAGGGCAATCCTGCCATGTCCCCCTGTGTAAGACGAATTTTTTTGAGTAATGGTTGTTAGTTAATACAGAGGCAGAGGGAGAGGTATAAAGTAGTTTAATCCAAGAACAAAAAACAGAGCCGAAACCAAATTTTTTAAGTGTCTTAAAGAGATAGTCCCATTCTACTCGATCGAATGCTTTTTCAGCATCGACAGAGAGAAGACATTCAGACTCACCATGTTCGGGGGAATACAAAATGTTGAATAGTCGACGAATATTAAAAAATGAATACCGATTCTTTATAAACCCAGTTTGATCAGGGGATATGACGGAGGGGAGGACATCCTCTAACCTGCGAGCCAGCGCTTTAGTAAGGATCTTCACGTCCGTATTTAACAATGATATGGGCCTGTAGGAGGCATAATCTAGCGGGTCCTTATCTTTTTTCAACAAAAGAGAGATGCAGGCCTGGTTAAATGAAGGAGGGAGTTCGCCTGAGTCAAGTGAGTCAGAAAATCGATACATCAATACATTTTGAATTGATGAACGTTTAAAACTCTTTAATGATGACAATTTCAGAGAAACGTGAGATCCCGTTTGATAGTGACTATTGCTGTGGCCTTGTTGCAACTCACCAAAGCAGATAAACTGGGGATAAAAACATTTTCAAAACTCCATTCAGAAGAAAACAAAGTGCAAATGAAATGCTCTCATTGACCATAAATTGTACATTCATGTTTTCTTATGGACCGCTGTGATGCCACCTGAAACACTTAATGGTAACTTAAGTGCAGGTTTATATCTCTCCGTTTACCTTTTCATGAAATAAAAAGCTCAACTTAGCTTTCATTTTAGGAGCCTATCAATGTTAGGATAAACACAAACTCCACATGTTATCATCACATCAAAACATGTCTGAGTGAAACCAGACCCTCCCACTTACAATATATGGATCCAAAAAGTTTGGGACATTTATCAAATGGAACAAATTACATACCAAATAAGACTCCAAAAGGAAACTTTCACAACAAGATGGAGACCTGGACTGGCTTTACTAATGCAATAGAGAGTGATTTTTAATTTGGGCGCAGACCAAGATCATGCACCATTTTTCCCTGGGGTTGACTTTGCACCTGTACTTTGACACATGATATCTTAGAGTGGATTAGAATTTATTTCTTTATGATTACAACTTTTATTTATGATTTTCATTTCTCCTCTACTTTTATGAACATTTATTTATGTACTTGTTTGTTTATGTGTATTATTGTGTATATGTATATTCTTTGGAGTGGACATTTTGGTTTGTATCTTACTTTTGTAATCTATTTCTGCTGGCTTAAAGAGCCCACATTATGCCCTTTTTGGGGTTGTATATTTAATCTATGTACCTACTTTTGTACGTTCACAATAGATAAAGTTTGAAAAAAGTGTCTGTTTTCATGAACTGCTCCTCCTTGCTCCCTCTACACTCTGAGTCCATCAGCTACACTCTGTTGAGCCCACACTGTTAGACCCCACATGGCCAAGTCTGCTCTGATTGGTCTGCCGATCCACTCTATCGTTATTGGTCAGTTGCTCAGCACGCTTCTCGGAAATTTCAACATGAGCTGCTGGGCTTGCCACAACGAGCCAATGGGCTTAGATCAGTGATCTCACACTGACAATGACGCCAGACTGACAAATTTTTATCGAGGGGGGCTAGAACCGAGCGTTACATGCAGCTAATGCTACAGCTAACAGGAGGAGGTAGGAGAAGCTGTGTTTCTGCGGACTTTGAATTTTTGCACGAGGCCTGACTCACAGTTCATGGGACACTGCAGTTCAAAGATGATGAATGGGGTTGAGGAAATGTTTTTATGCAGGCCAGTCCAGTTACTCCTGAGCAGACATTTTCTTTATGTGAGCATGAGGTCATTTCCATGTGTCAACAGGAGAGGGTCTCCCCCAAAGTGCCACAAAATAAGAAGCACATCATCGTCTAAAATGTCATTGTAGCATTAGGGTTTCCTTTCCACCACATAACAGCATACTTCTGGCCATCAAGTCTTACTGGAGCTTTGTGCTTCTTGTTAGCTTTAGTATCATTTTGACATTGGACAGTGGAGAGAGTCAGAAATACAGGAGAGAGGTAGGAGGGGAGGACAAGCGGGAAAGAAGCCACAGGTCGACTTCCAACCCAAGCCGTCCACTCGGGGGACCAGACCCACCATACATGAGGCACTAACCACTATGCTACCGCTGCCCCAGAACTTACCTTTCTGAGTACGTCCTTTAAGGTGAAGTGATCCAAAAGCAGCTTCCCAGAATACACCAGCCTCTGGTCTTTTGAGCTCTGAAAATACAAAATGGAACTTTTAACAGGGTCAAAAGAGATAATTATTTATCAGCAAAAACATTTAAGGTAATGAAATTCAAAATGTCAAGTTAGTATTAATGATACTGATGAGGAAATATAGATCATGACCCCTATATTTAAGATAGAGATTTTGTGTGTGTGTGAGTGAGTGAGTGAGTGAGTGAGTGAGTGAGTGAGTGAGTGAGTGACAAGGATGACATCACATTGACCTTAATTGGGATGAATAGGTCTTAACAGTGGATTACACCTGCAGGAAAAAGAGGTCAGAGTGCCTCCTCTTTAAGCCCACATTCACTGCTCGTCCATTCAGGAATTAGAGATGTGGACCTTTTATTCTAGATTCATTTTGCCTCTAAATATGTCTCTGTTAATGTATGCATGTCAAATAACACAAACACATCCTAACAGAGGTGAACTCTGACGCTTCATAAGGGAGCTGTTTGTCTCTTTGTGTATACAATGATTACATCAGAACAAGTCCTGAGAAGAGAAGAATGGCAGCTAAATTAGATATGTAGCTCATCAAAGCAGGTGGTAAACACTCTAAAACTATGGGCATTTTCAGCTGCAACTACTATGGAAGGCAGTCGGCAGGAATCCTTACAATGCTGATGAGTAGAAAAAGGTTAATGGTTTGTTCCTTCAATGATAACTGTAATGCGATTTACAGATGAAGATTAAAAGACAAGTTCAACATGTAATGGTTGTTTTTGAGGTTTTATTCTGTCAAAGAGTCCACTTTTCAACCCTGGTTCTGAGATGAACACCAAAAAACACATTAGGGTTCAAACTCCACAAAGCTCATAGATACCATCACTAGCAGGGCTCCCTGTTTGTCCTGCTCTTTTATCTATACAAAAGCTGGATTTCTACTGAGGAAACTTTACACAGGTCCTAGGGAATTTAGGAGATATTCGTTGCTTTTCTACCTCTGGGAACACGGTCTAAATAAAGTCCCACTGTGTTTAATATAACCCGAAAAGGTGTAGTCTCTGTGTAGTACATTTAAAAAGTCGGGATGGAAAGGGGGTGGCTCGAGTTTCTCAGCATCATGTTTGCTTAAGTACTCCACAGAGCTTTGTTGCCATACAATGCTTAAATATTTACAGAGCTCAGAGGGAGCAGTGGCTATGAATTTTACTATTGTATAACATATTAAAACAAGGCCAGTACAGTTAAATCTAAGTTATATATTACAGGTGATGCGCCACAAAGTAATAAACATGTTAAGGAGCAGAGATGACTTTTTTACAACATGGCTATTACCTCTGCAAATGTGTTTAAATATGTGAAGCTCTTCCATGGTAACTTGTCAAAGACCTTGTCATAAATGCAAACAACAGTGGGCTGGAGATAACTATCAGTCCCTATGTGTAAATTCAAACATAGACTAGTTTGAACGTTACTTCTAATTTAGGATGACATTTACACACTACTAACAATTGAGATGTTGCACCAGCTGAGTGAGTTCCAACATAGGCATAGGTTTCAGCTTAAATCTTACATTGAGCTCCTAGTAGGTGTGAAGTCCTCTGTAAAATACAGATGTCAGGGTGTATCTTTTTGAAAGGTGGAATAACTTGGAGGATGAGGAGGAGCAGATGGTTTTACCAGCTATTTGGTTTTTGTTGGCAGTGTATTCTTTGTGAAAGTTTACATCTCTCAGAAATGCACAATGAATTTTTTATTCTTATTTTCTTTCTCCATGTGTGGAGATAATTACATCCATCATCACTCATGGTTATTTTACACAGGCTGTAGATTAAGGGTGTAGGCTTTGGTTATCACCTAATCATAACGCTTTGTCATATTTTTCTTTTTCATTTCTGTATGTTGTGAAACATTTTTAACGGAAGTGATTTTCAGCTGTTAGAATACTGCATTAAAAAGGTGGTGACATGTAGTGAAAAAGTCATTTCTGGTTAGTTTGAACCCGATGTCCTACTAGTCAAGATAAACATTATGTCTCTGTGGTGCAAGTAAACAATAACAACATTTAAGTTATAAACTAAATAGTTTCAATGTAGTATTTAGTGTGGACTTCAACATAGCTGGTTTAACAGGCCCATGGCTGCTTTCTGTGGAAACACAGCTAAAGTAACTAATGGGTTCTGCCAGGAAGGGAACATTAGTCACATGTTTCTGTAATCAGTTTGTTTTGTTTCACTCCAAAAAAACACAACCCAAAAAAGGCTACACAACCTCAAGGCACTGGATGTAAATGTCCCTTGTGATTTAACAAAGGAGATTAGCTGATTTGCATGACAGAGGATAATAGCTCGGACTATTGAAGTGTAAAGCTAGGCCTCGGAATACATTCATCATTTAAGTGGATTACAGTCAAATACTCACTGGTTTGCTTGGGTACACATCGGACAGGTGAGCTTTCAACTTCTCCACAGTCCAGTTCTGACAACAGTTGATGGTCTGGTCATTGTACTTTTGGTTGGGTGCCCTGATGACAAGGGTAACGAGACCATCCACAACACCTGGATCCATGACACAAAACCATTTGTCTCAGGTGGAAAAGAAAAAGGTTCTGGATCAAGACCTTCTAGTAATTTTCTAGTTGATCCCTCGTTGCCACCATCGGAGCAATAATGTTATGTAAAGTGAGATGATGCTAATCTGCAGTTTGTCCAAACGGGACACAGCTGGAGCCTGAGGAATGACAGGAAATCACGAGTTTAGAGTGAGCACAATAGCACATGAATAAGTGCGTAATATAACCGACAAGAAACGTGTTAAGTGTTTAGCATGAAGGTTTATGTATGACGTATGACGTCACAATGTATTTGACAAGGAAACATCCGTTACTGCCATTAATGCGTGAGTAACGCTCTGACCAGCCATTTAATGTCAACTACTATTACTTTGTTACAACATTATAACGACCTGGTTATTAACTTAAAGGTGTGGGACAATTATCATTTGCAAACAACTAGCCAGCCCTGTTTAGAGAGCGATATTATACTTGCTAAGCTAACGTTAGCTTTAGTAGCTTCTCTGATACTAACGCAAGTCAACTAACACCCAAAGAGTCGTTAGATAGCATTTCTTTAACACTTTTTCTAAATATATTCGTCTTAAACCAAATGGTGTTAAATTCACTTTACCTTCCTAGTTCAGCCCCAGTGACAGCCTACTCGTAACTCCAGTCCTTGATTGAACCTGCTGGGTGTTCGTCTTCTTCGTTGGATTTCAAAATGGTGTATACATTGAATGTTTACAGTTCACTACCGCCATCTAGTGGTAGAAACGTGAGTTACAGCAGATACATCACACAATCCAGTTATGATAATAAAGTTTTTTTTTATGTATATATGAACGGAGGACGAGATCTGACAGAAGTAGAAATAAATAAATGTAGAAATAAATAAATGTAGAAATGAGTAAATGTGGAAATAAATAAATGTAGAAATAAATAAATATGGAAATAAATAAATGTAGAAATTAATAAATGTAGAAATACATTTATAACATTTAATTATTTATGTCGCATTTATTTACCAGTTTTTATTGATTTATTCATTTTTCTTATTTATTTACTTATTTATTCATTTTTTTATTTTTTTATTCCAGTATTTATTTATACATTTATTTATGTATTTATTTGTACTTCTGTCAGATCTCGTCCTCCATATATATGTAGCTATGACTAATTCTAAATTGTTACTTTTTTTACAAGTTGGTGTGTTTTAGTAAAAAAGAATAAAAGACATAACTTAAAAAACATCAGAATGATCACATTTAATTCAACACCTTTCCAAAAAAAGGAAAAAAAACAAGCTTAATGATGATAATGTTTAAATAAGACTATTAATTTCAGTTTATGTATCTTTGACTTTTAAACTTCTAGGATAGGGAATTTTAACATGCATGTTTTCATGAAATATATTCTCACATTTATGACCTTAAACTAGGGAAATGAACAGGAATAACAACACAACATATATCACTAGCTAAATAAGTAATTGACTAATTGGGATTATTTGTGTTCAAGTGATTCCATTTGACTGCCATCTAGTGTTGGCACAGAGGAACAACCCTGCCACTATCCAGTCCTTTCTCATAAAATATTTGTTGTCGTAAGTAACAGGTAGGCTTATATAAACACAGAAATAAATTACTCGTGTGGAGATATAATGACGTGAAGTCAAATATGTAACTGTGACCTGAAAAATCAATGCCAAATAACCGTATGGCGTTTTGTTGTATGGATTGTTTGCAGCTAAACTGTGACCATCGCTGGAAAAAACCTGTGTTTAATCTGTTCTGAATTAGCCTTCTTCCTGTGGTTCATACAACATTCATACAAAAGAGACCTTGTAGACCCTTAAATAGAAAAGGTTACAGGCTGCCATGTCCTGCACATGCCATTATATATCCTGCCCTTGTACTGCTGCTTTGAGCTCATACAGATGCAACTGCATCTGTCTTGATGCCATGGATGCCATATAACATAGTGTTCTTTATTCCATGTGACAGATTTTGTATACTCACCAACGTGTCCAATATCGCTCCGTGGGTCATCATTGAAAGAGGCACAGCATTCTTTTTATTTACAGGCTACTCGTTGGTAAACTCCCTGCTTACATGACATATCAGGCCTAACAACCAGATCTCAAAACTGGGTCACTTAGGATGGAAATAGGAAAGACTGATTTAAGTGCTTCGTCTATTCTGTGGAACAATATTGAAATGACGGCTTAGCTCCCTTCTCTTATATATTGCATTTTTAGAAGAGCTAGTGTCTGATCTACTAAGGAAAAGTAATTGCAACTGTTTTAAAGTGTTACTTATTAACCTGTTCATGAGTTTTCTTAATGTATTTAGAATTATTTTAACCGTGTTATATGTTTTTCTTGTTCTGTGTTTTATTGAATTGCTGCAGGTCACCCCTGGAAAAAAGACCTCGATATCACTAGGTTCTTCCTAATAAAATAAAGGATAACATGTGTTACATGCCAGCCAATCTGTTTTCTGGGAACATAAGAGTGAATCTGTCCTGAAAACTATAACAAATGTACAGAAAAATGGGAAATGCTACCAGTAAATCTACAATGTTTGACTCCCTAGCTGGTCTGAGGACCATATGATCTAACCTCTTGACCTATATTTCTTTCAGGTGCTCCAGTTTCCTCACATAGTCTGAATACATGCCTCTGAGTCTCAACTTTGAATCCTACGAGATGGTTGCTTTGTTGCTTCATGAGTTACAAGCTTTTTCCATTTAAAAAGCACTCTGAAGCACTCTCTTTGTGACATCCATTGTGTTTGTTTCCCTATATTAACACCTTTGCTGACAAAGTGATGTACAGCAATGCTTTAGTGGTACTGCATTAGAGATGTTCAATTTCATTCATTTCCCTCTCCCTGTGTGTTTATCCATCATTTACTCTGGCTCACAAAGGACTGCTTTTCACACTGCATTCCTCATATTCACAGTGGTTGATGTTGTAATATGGAACACCCATTGCCACTGTTTGACATATTTTCAAAGGGTTGAAATGAGTTCAGTGTTCTATATTTATATAACAACCTAGAGTTAAATAGTGACCATCTGTAACAAAACAAAAAATGATAACAGCATAGAACAATACACTATTTAATGTTTTGTTATTTTATATTTAACTGATAACCTCCCATTTGTAATGCCACTTATTTTCAAAATGGAGTGGGAGAAAATGATGTATAGGAATAACAATAGATAATAAAAGGTATTTGGCCAAAAAAAGAAAGGCTTCAGAGCGGTGGGTAAGTGGGTAATGTAGAAGGTGTTAACATTTTTCTGATCTCTCATTCCTCATTGAGCACAAGAGAAGAGAAGATGAATGACAAATCATAAAGACCCTGTCTCCTTTTTTTTTTCTAAAGATTTATTTTGGGCTTTTTCGTGCCTTTGATTCAGAGGGAGGACAGTGGATAGAGTCGGAAGCCAGGGAGAGAGAGCGGGGAGTGGCATGCGGAGAGGGGCCACGGGTGGAGGCGAGCCCGGGCCTACCGCTCGAGACGAGAGTCTCAACACATGGGACGCACGCCCTGCCACTGTGCCACCAGCGCGCCCCAGACCCTGTCTCCTTTTAACTGAATCTGCACTTTAAGCATTGATACACATATCTTTTTGTTCATTGGCAAACAAACAGGCTGGCTAAAACGGAATTGATGCTTATAGAACATATCTGTCTCGTATGTCTATCTGCCCTTGGTGATGTCCAAAGATAACATACTGATCCAGAATTATTTATTCTTTCTCTAATGTGAGAAATAAGTCACATAAATAATTGTGCTTGGAAACATACACATTCGCTGATTTAAAATAAAAAAATGAATAGCTACAAGCATTCAACAATTCTAAATCCTGAGTCACTTTAATATAATATTACATTTTGTTACATTTGACCTTTGACAAAAATAGTCACAGCAAATAATAAGCTTTTATTCAACAAGGTTGCAATGTTTCATTTTCTATTGAACTGTACATGCTTCTTATGCCCTCTGTTCATAATGAGTGCCTTAGTTGATGACTCATTGGCGTGAATAGATCACTGGAAGGAGGAGGTTTTAACAACAAGGATCACAATGCATTTTCATTATGAGGTCACGTTGCAATTTGTTTCCTTTGTCTGTTTGTGTGTTCAATTGCATTTATAAAGATCTTTGGGTTACTTGCTTTCTGGTTGTAACAGTTGCAATTCATTTTTGAGATAAGAAAAATTGTCTATTTTTGCCATAAAATATAGGACCAATTTGAGCTAACCCCATTTTGATTTTATGATAGGAGCATACTTTTGGTTTGTATACAGCAAAACACGTTTTCATTTTAACACAACTGAGTTTATTTTCTTATCATTTAAAAAAAAATATATATATATATATATATATATATCATTAAAATGTTTTGGTTACGTAATGACGTTGACAGTGACGTTATTTTAGATGACCGTTAACCTTTGATGCCTGTATCGCGATTTTGATTAGTTTGTTTGTATTGTTGCATTTCCGACTTAATGTTTAAGAAAAGTCAAACTAACTCCACAAGTTTCTGGTGGATTTTGTGAATAACTCGCATTTAATGTTGAGGTTAATTATCCAGTAAGTCCAGGGAGAACTTATTTTTGAGGGCGTCATAGTGAGGATGCTAACTGCTAATGCGGTGGAGGACATCCAGATACCGAACTGGGAGGATAATGGGAACGATGGAAGGGATGAAGATACGACTGTCTGACCTAACTGCTTTACAATACATGAGTTGAAGGTAAACTACTCTCTGAGTGTGAATCATAGACTGTAAAAAAAGAACTTGGACTAGCGTTAGCTTAAAATAGCATGAAGCTGCTAGCCGTATCACTATTTTCAATTTTAGCAACGGGTTTTTAACAAAAAGTGTTTAATTAGGGTAGTTTAACTCGGTGAACGGACTGTGTAAATCCACAAACGCCTTATGTGATGCCTTTGAATTTAAATGAGGTTGTTGTTTAGTTTACAATTAATTTAACACATGACAGGTGATGTGAATAATATGACTGATTAGTCTTTTTGGTTTTGTCATGACTGTCGGACAATACTGGTTTCCCTTTGGCGTCATAGTGAGGAAGACTTAAGAATCAAGTAATGAAAATAATGAATGTTTTCAGTCCGATTTTCATTAATGGGTACTAGTTTACTTTTTTCCTTTAACTTTTTTTCCAAGTTTGAATTAAACCCTTAATTTAGGCTTATATTGCATAAATAGATACACTCGCCTAACTTTTGAGACTCTATTGTTTGCCTTGTTGCCTCTGAGATTACCCAAAAAATAAATTTGGTGTTTCTCATTTTTACTGCTTCATGAACTCCCTGCAGAGACGCGCACACCTTCAACCTGAGCCAACTGACAAAACAAGTGTAGTAAGCTTGGTCAAATAAGAACAACCATTTACTCACTATGAAGATAAACAGTCCTAGAAACGACTAAGTGATGCCAAAGTGATGACTTTTAGGCCAATATAAAATAGATTCTTCATTACTACCGCAGCAAGATTTATTTTTTTCTTTCTGTAGCTCTGACTGAAATGTAGCCCTTCCGTTGTAAAGTCACATTTAATAGAAATAACAGGCTTCCAAAAGTAAACGATAAGAAATTACATTTATTAATCCCAGGTGTAACAACTTTAGTAAATTGCATATGGCATCTTTACAAATGTGTTAAATGGAAG